GACAGTGAGGTGAACTACTAAGGAGATCTTGGGTGTGAAAAGGTTAAGAATTCTGTGTTTTTGAACTGTTTTTAATCATTTCATACTCTCTTGTCTCAGATGTAGGATAAGTGGCTACATTAAAACAAAGTATTTATCTTCTTTTTCTTATTGACAGATTTCTGAAACAAAAACCACAAGAAGAGATTCTAGTGGGAAAGAAGAGGTGAAATTTATACACTTTGCTAACTGTGTTTATGTTTTACTCTTTCCTCCCATTTTGCTTTATTTTACTACTGGTAATCTTTGTTCTCCTTAGGATGTGATTCATTATTCCTGCAGACCAAAGCCTTGAAGGATGATTATGCCCTAGAAAGTTTTAATAAAAACAAATTATTAAATTAAGACACCAAACACATTTTGAGATTCTAAAAGAGTAGCCTAACTTTTGAAAGATGTGCCAATAATTTCACTTCATATGCGGCCATTTTTAGTACTGCTTAGCAACCTAGCCATGTACCTGTGTTTCAACCACCCCTTTTCCCTTCGTTTACAACTTTGATCGAATAATTAGGAACTGCTCAGTCAAGAAGGTAAATAGAATTAAATTAATATGTATATTTCTCAATTGGCACAGAAAAAGAAATTGATTTCTGAAGCATACCTAATTATCCTTTAAAAGTCTTACATCTGCCAAACCCTACTCTTGGTATAGTAGTTTACGAGGTTTGCTTGATTTTCTGCAGGTGACAATAACGCGAAGAATTGGTGATGAATTGCACACTATTAGAAGGAGAAAAGGCAGTTCTGGGAATGAAGAGACAGAGGAAGATACAGTTAACGTAAACAGTGGTAAGCACTTGTGTGCAAACAAGTGATTATTGCCTCTATCAGTGCAGGAGGCCTTAATTGTTCTTCAGTAAGCTGTGAACTACAAGATCAGCTTTGGGGTTACATTCAAAACTCATCACCTTTACCTTGATAATTCCGGTCTTAAATATTTTTTTAAAGCTTAGTGGCGTAGAAGTATGTGCCGATGTAAATCTCCACCGCTAGCCAACACTGGGGTGAATAGTTGTTTCGGTATTTACTAAAACAGTGAGATGATATGACACAGGGATGATTAACTCATTTATTCCTGCAACGGAGTTAGAACAGCCAATCAGAGCGCACCTCTGATGCTATCCACTGTTTATCTGTGGGTGAATTTCCTTAACGCTCTTTTTTATAATTCAATCTATTTGCAGAATCGTTTCCATATTTGTCGGATGGCAATGCCTCAAACCCACAACCATCCTTGTTCTCCATAGTCGAGTCTCTCATGGAAGACTTCTTCCCCCGACGAAGGTAGCACTTTGGAATTCCGACAGGGAATTAAACACTTTGAAGTCTCAAAATTCAAGCCGTTGTGGAAATTCACGTGTAGTTTATCACGCACAGAAATATCTTTTTCTGGCGTTGTAATGGGATAGAGAAACGTCGTGGTCAAACGGGAACGTCAGTTTTATTGAAATCTTTCACTTGTGCTGTGGGAGTTTTATTATCACCTAAGAATGATTTTCGAGGAATGTTAAAGTAATGTGGGATTGCACCAGCTCTGCCTCTATTCGCTCTGTGATTGCTTTTTAATTAGCACCACTTTCCCAACCAACTGGGTGCAAAACTAAAATCAATCGCGACTTGGTCGGTCATTCGCGTGTTTTGCACGTCAGGAAGTTTGCATTTGATTGACTCCTGTTGATAACTTTGTTTGATTTGCTTTGTGACTACTATTTGATTTCTTTGTGTTTGATTTCACGATGCTCAAATGAAAAGCGCTCTATGCAAATACAGTATAGTCCAAAAATACATATTCCCTTGAACCCATACAAAATGTTTTTCTCTGTAACACACGGTATCGTAGGGGAAAAAAGCTACAGGCTCCAAGAAAACGTCAGTTTGAGTGAGAGAACAAAATTTTGGAAATTGCATAACATAGTACCTTGTCAGCTTTAAGTCTGATTCTCAGTCTGATTACGGAAGCTATCTTAATTAACAGCTACAAGGTAACAACTTTAAAATTGTTCTGTTTGTTAACGCTGGAGAATTTGATCCACCAGAATAAAGGAATACAGAGCGGAGTAACTAGTGACGTGTGTGTGTGTGCGTGCATATTTGTCAATTCTTTCCTTTGTGCCCAACGTTGTCGTATTTTTTTCCCCAAACTTTCTCAACTTCTCCAAGTAGCCCTACTCAACTGTATCTTGGCATTCTCTCTTATCTTTGTAGCCATGACTCCAGCTTTACAAAAGAAATTGATATGCGTCATACAATGGAGCTTGAGGTCGAATGGAAAATATAGCAAGGCCAAGGTATATTATTTTAACGGAAAGTTCATCTTCCTTGTCAGTGGTCAAGAGTCCACCAGCAAATAACTACAACATCAAGATCTATCAATTCATCATACCCCACAAGCTCTTTCGTGAAATGTTTTAAGAAACGTTCAAATTCCACTCGCCTAGAACTCTGGCAATTCGAAAACCCTTAAATTATTCCATTCTTAAGAAATTCTCTCCTATACATTCACGCATATAGTTGTCCGTTTAAAACCAGACGTGAGCGGTTGTATTTCAGCTGTTAAGTTATTATCAAGTTAAACTGCAACTTCCTTTTGCTAAACTTACCGAAAATCAATGGAACAATCCACCGTGGAGCTTCCAAGTTACATTGCCATTGACCTTATAACCAGCAATAGATGGGGTAGCGTGCATTTTGAAACCTCTTTAGTTTCGCAACTGTACGCGGTTTTGTCGCACAAATTTTCGTCTGTTCTAAAATTGGAACTGCTTTTAGCAGTACGTATATCGAGTAATGGATGCACTTGTTAGATTTTGAACGCAAAAATCATCCAGATTTGCCGTTAGCTGAACCCAACAAAACTCTTACTTCCTGTGTGCATGCTCACCGTATTCTATTTGTCATTGGAGAAGGTAGAGAAAGATGTTTTTCGTCTTGTCACGAGCGTGGGACGAAGAAAACATTCTGAGTTCCAATGGGGAATTAAACTTCAGACCTTCGGTTTACGCGCTCTGATGCTCTAACACTGAGCCACAGAGACTCTCTGCATACTACTAGAATCAGCAATTTCGGTAGCGCCATTGCCCCGCTAATCAATAATTTGCCTCAGGCGTGGAAAATCATTGACATGCTCGCTTCTGTCGCGCTACTTTGCTCAATCTCATGCAATCATAGTTATTTGGTTCTAAGTTACCCGGTGTTCTGAGGTGCCACTGTATTACTCAATGAATTTAAGATACCAGTGATATACGCCTTTTTCATTTAATTCTGGAAGAATGAGAGAAATGAAACTATCTATCGAAGAACTTCCAAGTTACATTGCCATTGACCCTATAAACAGGTGTAGCGTGCATTGTGCAAAGTCTTCAGGACATCTCGCCACACAAAATAATGTCCAAATTAATCATTGGCATCGCATTTGTGTAGCATAACTGCCACTGCCCCGAGTGAGGTTTGTGTAAATACCTCGTGAATACATTCCTTTTCCAACCAATCTGTTTTATGTCACCTTGTAAACCGCTTTGCTGGCTGAGGAGGTGCCATAAGAGCAAGGCCACTCCTCTGATTCCCGGGATCAGTCCCTTTACGATTAAAGCTTGTTTCAGAATTGTTTCGGCGAAACTTTTTCAAGTTGTTCTTTCCCTGCTGTGCGGAGGAGAAGGTACCTTTGCTTGGTCCTGAAGTTGAGTTGGACCTGATAACGGCAAAGACCGAAATAAGACTCGATTGATCGACTACTGGCTTACTAACTGGCTTTTTAAAAACTGAGATTTATAATTCTCCTATCACGTAACAAAATAATTGATTGTGAGACTAAGTTAAGAATACACCACGTTCAAGATGTTTGAAGATGAAAGAGGATAACTGGAAACTTCCCAGGGAAATATATGAAAAAGAGACAAACTCGTCTGTTTTAAATGCTGTTTTTTACGAGGTCCTACCGCACAAATGTAAGTATTTCTAAAAGTAACTTAAGAAAAATAATGGCATTTAATTTCTCCGTGTTTATATTTAAGCTTTGACTTGATTTATTCGAAAGGGTATACCACGCTTAAGTGAGCTGTTGAAAATAAATGTCAGGAGAGTAAATCGATGAGTTGACCAAACTATTGATCATTACCTTGCTGTCGAGCCGGCCGGTTTTCGTTTCCTCTTCCGACCTACAGGAGCCTTCTCATCCTGCTTCCAGTAATGTGAGTGGTTGGCGCTCTCATCATAAGTGTCTCCTGTATCAGTCGTGTAATCAGAGCTGGTGTAGTTACTGTCTGACGTTTGATCCATTAATTCCTTCCGTTTAGATTTACTGACAGTCTTCTCCTTTTCTCTAACGGGCAAGGGAGGTAGCTGATCCCCCAAAAAGGAAAAAATTTTAAGAACAAACTTTTTTGGCGTTATTTCTAACACAAAACGATTAAAAAACAGAACACATTGGACAGAGTAACTAGCAAGGGGACTGAATAGTCAAGTGACCTTGTCAGTGATTCAGTCTCCTCACCGTCTGCCTAATGGACTTAGAAAATTGTTACTTGGCGTGAAATCGTAAAAAATAAGTAGAAGTAATAAGTTAGTAATTTTACGATTTCGCTGTCAAAGGAGTGATAAACTTTCGTTCCTGCGCAGCTTGTGGAATTTTGTAGGTGAATGCTTTTTATCCTGCTGCGGATTCTATTTAGTGGAATCGGAAAGGTGTGGAAGGAGGAGGGAGGAATCCGCGAAAATGAATAAAGATTCCACCAATCATAACAATGTAATAAACATAGAAATTCCATGCTGCCGTGCCTGTGCTCAGTAATAGATCACAGATGATGTCAAAATCTAGTCAGAACAAAAAAGTGGCCCAAGGGGGCGCAGCCGAGTGTGTCACTGATGTTCTTACTTCACTTTGCCGTCATCTGTGTTCTTCGGTGTTTACTGGAAAGTCGTATAGCAACACGGAAACGTATTTGTTTTGTATAATCTGTGTTTGTGTCCTCAAATAGATCATAAGTAAGAACCACTCAGAATACGTGGATAATTCAGCTTATCATACAATTCTAAATATCCTGCCAAAAACTACAAACATTACCTTTACGCGACCCTGAAGGAAATCTAAAGCCTTGGGTCCTAACTTCACATAGCTGAGGACATTGTCATGGTTACCAATCATGATATGTTCCGCAAGCACACGTTGTAAGATCAATAGGTGGCCTAGTCTTTCTGCATCATTTCTATGGTAGGATTTTCCCACACCATACAGGGAACATCTGTCGTGACCTTCAGACGTCACACGGGAACCACCTGAACCCTGCAAGGTGACGAGAAAGTTCATGTATATAGACTTGCGTGAAAAAGGTAGTGGATTGTTGAACTGTTGAAATAGATTGCTTTAACAAAAATTAGGACGAACAGACATCACAACTACATATCCACCAGGTGTTGTGTCTCGCGATTCGGATAACAGTTTTGAGAGAAAGTGACAACTTTTTTCTCTCTCCAATAGGCGTTGCAATAGGATTAAAACGGACAACACAATTACGCCAAGTGGCAATTCGAAAACACTGTTAAAAAAAGAAATGGGACAACTTTCCATCAATTGCATGTTAAATACATATCATACCAAGGAAAAGTAAAAAATAAGGTAAACCTCTTTAATAATGGACGCATGTTTGACTTCACAAGTCTGACGATATTTCAAGAAAGAAATATCTTAACGGCTGTTTATCTTTGCAACATCTAGACCCTTAGTTCCCCTATAGTTTTTGACTTACAAGAAAACAGAGAAATATATTTCAGATTGTAACGCGGAGAGAGAGTCAACAAAATTTTGAAGCCTCGCCAAGGAAAGTAGTACCCCTTTTCTTTACGTTCAGAAAACACAACCAGACTGCCATTTCGAACTTGCCTTAAATATGTCGATAAAATGGTTTAACGTAAAGTTCTTAACAGGTTTCCTCCAGTTCCTGTTTCCGCCATGGACAATGGAGTTGACATTTTCGACAAATGCCTTCGCATCAGACGTAATTTCCTTATTCTCAAACGTTGCAGAAGTAGCACAGGTGTCACACATGCTTTCTGGCCGAGCACGACACTGGGACGGCTCAAAACTCATTTCGCCAAAGTAATGTAACAACTGAACTCTCCTACACTCGGAGACGTTCTCACAGTACTGCACCACACGAAAAAGATTGTCCATGTCCACCTGTTTGCTGTCAGCTGTCCTGTCGCTGTTGTTCTGGATCATCCTAAGAGACCACGGACAACAGAAAGAGTAAATAACAACCTAAACTGTGTTCAATTCGTTACTGCCAATCTATAAACTGACCTGTGTGTCAAGAGAAACTAATAATTACGTTGGGTGTCTTTTGCCCAAAAAACTCGCGTCGTTCTCTTCACCAATCAGATGCAAAACTACAGCCAGTTACGACTTGGTTTTCCTGCACTTTACGCAGTTTGTGTTTTTACGTGAACTTCTCATTGGCTCTTTGAGATACCTACCTTTGTTCTGATTGGCTATCGTAGTTACTTACGCTTTGAGTTTGTTTTGTGACACTCAAACACAATGCGCAGTAGACGATGTATGCACTGACTGGACTCCAAATGGTTGTTCAAATTTTACATATCACACGGTAGGTGTGAACCTAACTACAAATAGGAACTTCAGAGGTCTGTAGGAGGGATGTGCTTGGAGACAACATTAATAACACAAAACAGAGGTCTACTTTAGTCATTTTGCTTTCAAATTTACATCTTAATACCCTCACAGATAAAATGCAGGTTGACTTTTTCGTCACCAAATCACCTCAAGTGAATTGACAGGCTGTCAATAGCTTAACTAACGGTGAATGAAGACTTCAATGCCTACCATTCTGAGCAACTTTTGCAGTCACTTGCACGCTGTTTTTCACGTCATAATTTCAACTCCATCAGTTGGAGGAGTTGATATCAGAATCTTATTGAAACAAATAAGTACCTCTTTATCCTGTTGGTATCACCATATAAATAGAACAAGATACATTCAGCCAGTTGACCATCTCGCCCTGCCCGTCCACACTCTTGATAGTAACCCTCAAGTGACTTAGGCATTGAATGGTGAATCACATATCTCACAGAAGCCTTGTCAATTCCCATACCAAACGCAATCGTCGCACACACCACCTAAACGAGAGTAAGTGATTTTTTTTTCAATAATTTCTAACCACGACAAAGTTCAATAATATGCATATAGGGTAAGAGCGCAATGCTACACTACAGTAATGAAAAAAGTTAACCTTACCATATCTTATAGGGGGTTCAAATGCATTTTAGTATTCGCATTTCGACGACATTAACACGTAACTTCAGTTGTGAAGTCTCCATTCCTTTCACAAATTACGACACGAAATCCTATTTTAAATTGCCCATGGGACTCGAAATGACAGAAAGAGTTTGCGTTTGTATACAGAGAAAAACGGATACGTTGCCATAGCCTTAAAACCTAGAGAACTTCAATAAATCAGTTTTATGAGATTCAAATAATGAACTTTACCACATTTCTACTACTAAGTTTTAAGGCGACCATCTTCACTACGGCACATTGTAACTAACCTTGTATCTGTTATTGATCCAAGCCTCCTGACACTGTGTTCTCTGGTCATCTGAAAGTCCTGCATGATACGCTATTGCTTTGATGCCAGCTTCATTTAAAGAGTCTGCCACACGCTCACAGTCATTTCTTAGCAAAGGAAAAAAAGATATTGAAGGGCACATTTACAACGACATTCTTCAGATAAGAGCGATGGTTTCTGTAAACCGGTTAAAGAACTATTTTTCTAGTCGAAGTTACATGCTCTGAAAAAGGAAATACGAGAGTTCCTAGCGACGGTTGAATCTGTCACCGATCGCGAGTTCGAATGGCCAACTACTGAGCCACAGCAAACCCGTGGTAGCTGAGCTACACACTAGGTTCGTGTTCATTTTGATTTGAAGTCGTTTTGATTTTAGATGCAGTAAAATGATGACAAGCTAGCTCTAAAAGATTCCGATTGGCCAGGGTTAGAAGCTCGGTTACCAATACATTTGTTTGTTATTAGTCATGTCAACAAGGTAGCGCTTTCTCATAACAAGAAATGAAGGGTTCAATTCAGGTTACTGATACTGATCAATGGTGGATCGTCGACTACATTTTTTAAAATACAAACCTGGAAAGACAGTAGACAATTCCAGAAGAGACAGGTTGCTTTGTCTTTATGTACTGCAGTATTTCTTCCATGACTTTCTTTTTCGGTTTCACGATGAAACGTAAGTTGGGACGATTGAAAGTTTGGGTAAACCTGTTATTTAAGGCAAGAGACTTACTAAGAATTCTTTAGGAGACCTTTTCACCTGCTTACTGTTAATTACAAGCTTTTAACAGAAATTGGCGAAACCCTATATACAACAATCAAGTTCGTCTTGTCAAGATCTTCTTCATGTCATGCAGTCTTTTTCGACTTCTAACGTTTAGCACCATACAATGAACAGTAATTTTATCACGCACAACCTCGCTAAATTATCCACTAAGAAATGATTGAACTTCATCTTTTGTTCACCCTTCATACCCTAACATCAGTATGCATATTCTCCGTATTATTCTCTATACATTCTTAAGGTGCTCACCAGGAGAATTTGTCTAACAATCAAGAGGTTTTTTAGTAGGTGATAATTTCCTTTATTCTTGTGACCTTAATGTGTGATTCAAGGTTGATATTGTGAGGAGAAATCAGGGGGGTTGAAGGGTTAAAATCATTTTAGAACATGCAAGTGATATTCGTTCCTTTACTTCTAGTCTTAGTCAAGGTAAATTTATACACGAGAGAAGAGAAGACGCGCAAGCTTCAATGTCGGCGCACTACATCTTAGATTGGGAGGTCTGGGTTTAAGCTTCGGCAAGGTCACTATTCTGTCTTCTTGGGTAAAAAGATGATTATCTGTTAAGTAGCATACGAAATCCTTCCTGAAAAAAACATTTTTCCAAGTAAAAAGGTTAACATGATTTTTTTAGGTGGCAACTTCCTGAGTTTCCTTACAATTGAGAAGTCATCATTGTACAGTCTGTCAAAGGCAGCTGAGTAATGGGAATAGGAACGAAAAAAACCACTGTAACCTCCCGAGTTAATCATCACCTGATCTGAGTTGGATGGTAGCGAGAACATAAACCCCACCGAATCTGTGTAAAATTTATTACCTTTCTTACTAAAAAAGCATTGCATGCAAGGCTCCATTGAACGTACCATTTTGGTTTTGTCATCTTCAGCTGATGCAATATGTCCTTTTGAACGCGTGGTGTAGCAGTAGCAGTGAGAGCCATAAAGGGAACTCTAGGGAACTTGCTTCTTAACACTGACAGCTTCTTGTAGTCTGGGCGAAAATCATGTCCCCACTGACTCACACAATGGGCCTCGTCTATCACAATCCTATCAACAGTCATTATATGTTAGCAGAATAGAGTCTATCACTGATTTGAAGAAATGGAGATGGAATCAGTTATGTTCAAATACAAAAAAACAAGCACGCTAATTGTGCGTATGCTTCTCACACCCCCTCTTATATAATGGCAAGGCTACAAGCTAACTGTTTCTCAAAGTAGCCCTTTGATGGCCTAAAATTGAAAAATGTTCACCAGAATAAAATTTTGTTTACCAGAAATTTGTAAAATATCATATGATGGACAAAACAACAAACCACACCGATTGCCTTTATAAAAAGCGGTATGGCTGGCATTCGTTTTCAGTTGAAGATTTACGCGACATATCAAGGCCAAATACTCGGGAAACCAACGAGAGTGTGGCACATTTTTATAGAAAACGACAGTCAACGTGTTTTATTCCTTGAAAGAGTTAATATCATTTTGGCTTTAGGCAACAACAACAAAAAGTTATTAAACGTTAACTCTTGCGACGTTACCATCGAAAACAGGTTGCAAACTTGGTGACTTAGGGTGCAAATTTATTCGCCAAAGTTTTTCTAGTCGCCATGGTGACCAAAACGGTGGCAGCTTTGGGCGCTGAATGGCGATAATCAACCGACACTACCGTAGTGTAAGCAGCGGGGAAAGAATGTTCCCTTTTTAACTCACCTATCGAGCAGTCCACGATTATACAGACTCTTCATAACAGAATCAAGTTTCTCACTGGCTGAGAGTTTCTCTGGGGTAACATACACAAGCTTGATAGTTGGATTTCTGAGAGACAAATCCTGATATACAGAGTTCAGGTGTCTAGTTGAAGCACTTCCTGCATCACCCAGCAAGTGAACGGCAGGCAGCTGTGAAAAAATTACTACTGTAAGACATATGAGAGATTCATTACTTTGTGGGTAGGGGCAACAACTGAGATCTGGCTCTAAACTAAACAATATGAAATCATTAGAGCTGTCATAAGGCTCCAAGTGAGGGGGCGACAGAAAGGGACATGGCTAAAGAGAACTTATTCCATAAAAGGAACATCTTTTGACGAGCAAGAAAATCTTAAAGAAAGACGGCAAGTTTCGAACTCGCTTGTTGAATGGGTAGATGGATTGTTGACTTAAAGGCTGACGTGCTAGCTGAATTATTGCACGAATTGTAGAGTTGATGTACAGCACACAAGAAAATGCCTGTGTTAGAGATCAGTCTTATTCCTGTAAATAAAACAATCAGTGGGAAAGTACTTTAAAACTGAATTAAATAAGGATTTGTCTACAAAGTCCTCTAAATTTTAGAAGTTCTCATCCAATATAGAAGCCACCATTTTTCCTCTGACCCCGGTTGAAAATCAACCGCAAGTTTAGGTAAAGAAACCAACATTGCTCCAGGGGTGGAGTGGGTGAACACTGATACAGCCAGGTACATCGCCAAGAAAGTTGCGATATATGCGGGACTTTTAAAATCGTACGTCGGAAAACGAGGAAACAATGAAAGAAAATGGCGCGGAACGGTTAAACGCTGACTGCGTTTGGTTAATTTTTACACTGAGGTATTAAAGTATTGTCACGAAAAGTATGTTACTGTTATCATATGCATTTTACCTTCATTGACTGAAGTCTTTGTACTTGATCTTGAATAAGGGATCTGAGAGGTGAAATAACAAAACTTGCTCCAGCACCCATAAGTGCAGTCAGCTGGAAGCACAAGCTTTTTCCCCCACCAGTTGGCATCAGAATAAAACAATCATGTTGCGTCATGGCAGCATTAATGGCTTCTAGCTGATTTGTTCTTAATGAACGAATGTTATAAACATTTTTCAATATTTTCCACATTTCTCTGTGATATGGTAAATCTCTTCGTTTTAACTCGACTGCAAAAGTGAAAGAAGCACTCATTATCATACTCAGTGCTATTAGTTAAAATGTTTCTATTGCAATGGAATTCACAGGATTTGTCCCTCAATGGAGAGACAAAATGTAGTAGAAAAAACTCATAACATCAGATAATTTAATCAGGGATCATCATTCACTATGTGAAAGCCACTAACTTTCTCTTAAGTTTATTTCTTGAGAAATGTCAAAATTCCTATGTTTCTCACTTTGATTGAGGTGTTTTGGTATTTTGTGTTGTGGGTTGTGGGTTGTGGGTTGTGGGTTGAAGATGAATTAAATTTCTGCTGGTACTAGTCCAAATACAATTTACAAGCAAAGATATTCATTTGAGTGAAAGTCATTTATATTCATGGCATTTATCTGGTAGTATTCTTTTTTCTGTGGTTATTTGCCTTGGCTAGTCTAGGCAACGTAGGCAATTTGCAAAATTTGCAAAAATTAGGTAATAGTCACAAAGTTTTCAAGCTACACAGTGAATTAATATTTTAATTTTTCAATGAAAAATCATCTATTTAATTCTATCTGTAGGCTCACCATCATTGCCATTGTTGGGAATTGTATTGATCCTATTTGGAGAATTGAAGCTTGAGTTCAAATTGTTGCTTTGAGTGGCACCTGGTTTGCCTTTAGTTGATAGAACAGGAATTGGTCGTTGACTACATGTATTGGGTGTAGATGCTGCTGAATGAGCTCTGCTGACAGATGAATTCAGAGTTGCAGTGGCAGGACTAATAGACATCTTCTGCTGACCATTATTATCACGAATACCAGTATTTGCCCATTCATCATCACTGCTATCCAACAGTTCTGTTAACAGTAAGGAATCTTTTTTCATATCATCTATTACACTTGCAGAACTCATAGAGACTGAAGTTTGAGTTTTCACAGAGTAATCATTTCTGCTCTCTGGTAGAGAATCATTTTCACAAGATAGTTTGCTTGACTTTTTAAAGGTTGTTGGAATGTTCTTCTCTTTATTCAACCTTGAGCTCAATGAACAAGATATACTCCTGCTTCCCTCATAGAAACTTTCTCCACATGGTATAATGGATGTATCAGACAAGGTAGTACTGTTACTGTGTGGTGATTGCCTTAAACCTGCATGTAAGAGAAACAGTAAATCAAATCAAGACCAATTCATTATGAATCATACAAACAGGAAATACATTCATCTCTAGGTTCCATCATATCAGTCTACAAATCTTTAGTCAGCAATTTAAATATTTCACCTTCCTTCCTTGTCAGTGTCTGCGGTGACAAAATTGGAGTACAAAAACTTGATGCGGAGCAGGTTTTTTCCAAAAAAACCTTAATAAGAGTTGTAGAATCAATAGCAAACTGTTTATCTTTTGTACTTACAAATCTTGAAGGTGCAGTCTTTGCTTTCTCCTCCCTGTTGCAAAATGTTCTCAAGCTGTAAAATTTTTGATCTTAGCCTTTTCCTGTGAGAAAAAGTACACTTTTTACCTAAATTGAACAAGACTAAAAAAGATCAGTTCAAAGGTACTAATCAAGCCATCTACAACTATGCTAAGTATTTCTCCATTTTAAAATGCAAGTATGCATAGTGTGAAATTGGGAGAGCATGGCAACAAGATGTAGTAGTCAGGTCATTAGTTATCTTGAAGTCATGCCTTCAAGTCCTTAAACCTGAAACTGGATTAAACCAAGTGGACATCTTTAAGATCCAACTATATCTTTCTTCTGAACAGACATTAGGACAATGTATCAGCTGTAACAGCTGCACATTGATGAACTTTACACCATGTATGAACCAATCAAGAAAATGGCCCTTCAGTCTAAAATTCCTCTTGCTTCTTGCTGTATCTTTAAGAAAGAACTTGCCCAGATAGCTGTCTATAGGTAAATTGATAATTTAACTGTTAAGTAGATGAGCAACCTTAAGTTCTGAGCCTCTTTAATACTTTTGGGTAAGCTGCTGACAATGGCTGGATCAGCTTTATCTAACAGGGAGCATATATTTTCTAGTGTCTGATAATGCATGCCATGCACTTCTTCCAAGTGAAGTTGGACCTTTATCAATGGTGTCTGAAAGCAATCCAGGATAACAAACATTTATAAAAAATATATAAATGCAAATGTGGTTTAATAACTCACATTGTTTTAACAGACTTCTAACAACATGTATTATCAACATCTATCAAGGACATGATACTTCCATACCAAATACAGGTGCCCTTTCTAGCCAATCATGAAATTAGGTGAATGTTTTATGGTCTTTTGTTTCCAAGGCAATGAAGATGGATGCATTTCACTCACAGTATTTTCAAGTTAGTTTGTCACTAAGCATGCCCTAATAATGCATCTCTCTCTAGCAGGAGGCAGAACAGTTGCCAATCCCCCTTATTGTTTAGTAACAACATATATTCGGCAGTAATCCTCAATTTTGTGTCTATATCTACTTAACAGAAGTTTGACTACAGGTTCATTTCCCAGTGATTAAGGGAAGACAAAATAAGGATTTTAACTGTCATCTTATAAACTAGTTACCAATGAACCTGTTAAAGTAAAGTTGCGAGTTTTAAAGTGTTTGTAATAACTTACTTGTTGAGAAACTGGTTGCTGCAGTACATGAGAAATTTTATTGCTTCTGGAAGAGAAGAAAGAGTACCAAGAGATTTTGTTAGTGAGAATATAGGACATAAAGAACTGTTCTCGCAGTCTTGAATCAAATGACTGCTACTGCTGTAAGTGATTTACTTAAAATGCTATATCAGGAAAAAAAAACACACACAAAGATAAGACTTAGAGAATGCAAATCAAAATTACCTGATCATGGTACTGAAGTTTTCAACTGAAATCAAATCCAGGAACAAGATGTCTTTTTCAGAGTAAGCCAAGTTTGCTGAGCAGTATGGCAATTTATTTTTTTCTCAGTTCGTGAGCAGGCAGTATTCTACAAATCCTGCAATCTGATTGGTTCTGAGAGTGGGCAGTATTCCTCCCATCTGGCCCGCTCACAGCAGGTGGGATCCGAAAAAATGTTTCAAAGTTTTCTTGGAAGCCTTTTAAATCACTTTTTAATATCATTACACAAATAAATATGTTTTGATGAAACTTCTCTCTTTCATTTGCATTGCCCCTGTTTTCTCTACTGTCTACTCGCTCACAAATTGTTCCGTTTATGGAGAATCTTGCCCTAATTACAGCCCTTTATCCTTCAGGTTCTTTTCGCAAAAAAATAAAAATGTTATTCACCAGCCAAGGTCAGTCCGTATTGGGAAAAACTGTGCCCTCTGTCTTGTGTACCAAGACCTCGGGCACAGTTTTTCCCGATACAGACCGACCTTGGCTGGTGAATAACATATATAACTTTTGGACAATTGAAGTATCTTAGTCCTGCTCCAAAGAGCAGGAAAATGCACCTCTTTAGCAAATTTCAAAATTTACTGCTGCTCAAAACCCTTAAGCAATATTTTCATATTTCCAATACTTAAAAGTTTTGTAATGTTTGACTACAACTGTATCATTGTTCTATATTAATTTATTCCCTTTATGAATTTCACTCTGTGAATGACATTAATAAAGTAAATTAGCATATCACTAGGATAATAATTATTGCTTAGTTATCTTTATTTACCCATAAGAATGATTTTCCTTATCCCCACAAGGCATCCCATTCTCAAGTTTAGTCTCTGCTGCTGATGGTATGTTAGGTGATTGTGGGGGTGAAAAATACTCTGGGGGTGGTGGACTGTTTACTGCTTGGCAGACCTCTTGAGAAGGAGGACTGCATACAGGGAGAACATCTTCTGAAGGTGGGGGACTATCCTTTGGTGGGAAGACCTCTGGGGGTGGCGGACTGTCCATTAAAGGAAAATCCTCTTGGGGAGGTAGACTTTGCATTTCAGGGAAATACTCTTTAGGTGGTGGACTGTTTACTGAAGAACCATCCTCTGGGAGTTGGGGACTATCCCTTGGTGGGAAGAACTCTGTGGCTGGTGGACTGTCCATTAGAGGGAAGTCCTCTTGGGGAGGTAGACTTTGCATTTTAGGGAAATACTCTGTGGGTGGTGGACTGTTTACTGAAGGACCATCCTCTGAGAGTTGGGGACTATCCATTGGTAGGAAATACTCTGGGGGTGGTGGACTGTCCATTGGGTGGAGGTTTTCTTGTGAAGGTGGACTGTCCATTGTTGAGAAATACTCTGGGGGTGGTGGACTGCCCATTTGTGAGAAGTACTGTGGGAGAGGACTGTTCATTGGAAGATCATCCTCTGGTGCTGAGAGAGTGTTTGTTACTGAGAGACCATTCTGAGGTGGTGGACAGTGTCCTGGGGAGACACTCTGTAAAGGTGTAAATCCATTCATAGGGCCTATAGATTTTGTGAAAGGTTTTCCATCTGAGGGCAAATGACTTGGCTCCTCTACAGAATTCTGAGAGAGAATAAATATTTCATCATTTTCTCTGTTTCAAAAAAAATAAATAAATAAATAAAAAATAAAAGTACCTCAAGGGGAACATCTGAAGCATCGTAAGACTTTGGCTGAAAGTCTGTGCTGAAGAGTAAATCTGCCACATCACTGCAGTCACCAATATCTGCATCTTCTCTATTTTTCCACCTATATTGTTCATCAACACTTTCACTCTGTTCTTCAGTACTTGTTAGATCTATGACTGGCCCAGTACTGCTGTTGGTACTGTTCTTCCTACTACAGTGTTTCTTTTCATGGTCATGATTGCTGTTCTTTTCTACATGATTTTTACCATTCTGGTCAAAAAAACAACAAAAAGAATTGATTAACTAATAGATGTAATAAATAACTACTAAAAACACTGAGTTAGTTGCAGTCACTTGAGCTTATCTTTATTCATTGCTGACTTACCCATACTCTGGATCAAAACAGAAATATTTAGACACATGTAAGTGAGGCTTCACAGGTTAGAGGCTCAAGTTATCAGGTTGAATTATCTAAAATTTTGGAATAAGGGAACTTCAAGGTGTTTCAACATGTTTAATGACTTTTCAAAGTATGACACTAAACAAGTTTATTGCAAACAAAGAGTCAGAAAAAGAAAAACAGATTTGAAAAGATATATTTTACATTAACAAACTAAGGGGTTTGAGTCATTGAGAATCATGATTATTCACATCACATTAAAAATGAGCTGAAAGAAACAAATCATTTCAAGTTAGCAGGATCTGCAAGTCACTCAGGGTTTGAGTAACTGAGAGTTATATTACTGGATTAATTAAGGGGAAACCAATTTTAGTTTCTCTTACTTGGCATAAGGTCTGAGATACTGAGAGTTTGAGGTACTGGGATTCAACTATTCATAGACTGCAAGTTAGTTTACCTTACCTTGGACACAAAATTATTATCCAGTTTGCGCTTCTTTGTAACAGGAAATTCTGTATGGAAAGGTGAAATGGATACAAAAAGAAATTTAATTTTGTTGATATCATTTGCATCAAAAATTTGTATGGAAACTTATTCATAATAGTCAGTGTGGTAATTAAAAATAAAACATTTTCTAAGAATTGGCTTTTAAGAGACCAGTGGCAAACGGCTCCTGCTGTTATGCCATACATGTTAAGTGGTTAAATAAACTATTGAATTGAATAGTCTATTAGCTTTATTGAGCATTGAAAACTTCATCTATATGAAGTCAGATGTGGTAAAACTGATGCTATAGAAGGATAGAGTGAGGATACATGGAAATAGTATAGAAACAATTCTAGCATAGAAAAAAGTATATATCATAAAACAATATACAATACACAGCAACAAAAGTATACCTGCTGTGACTTGAAAGTCATTTTCATCATCTTTGTCTTTAGCATCATAATGCTTTGGTCTTTTGAAAACCAGTTCCTTTTTAAAAGGTGGTACAGACCTCTCTGCCTCTCCAGCTGATCTTGAAGTTGATGTGCCACTCCCACTTGTTTTAAGACACAATTAACAGGTAAAGATGATTTTTTGGTAAAGATTATTTACAGATGATGTTTTGGATAACAGGTTCCAAAAAACCTTAATGGTGAGAGAGAGAGAGTAATTCACCAAGACATCTTAAGGAAGAAGTGTGAAAGACATACAAGAGTAAAGTACATTGTAAACAGCTGTTCACATCCAAAGTTGGAATGTCTAATATAAACTTATCCTAAATTAGTTTTGAGTACATTTATTGTCATTTTAATTAATAATAAAAATAAAATAATTCATTAACATCAATGTACTGACACCATTTGTTAGTAATGACATATTAGCTGACTTGCTCAAGCTCCAGCTGTGAGATGCTCATCTTGCAAAATAAGAGTCATGGTGAAATTAAAGTTTGTATGGGAATATTTACGACAGCTCTTAGGAATAAAATAATACAGTCAAATTCTCAATAAAAATACCTCACCCTACTTCCACAATGCATCACTTGTTGTCTGACCTCTTACTATGTTGAAAAGAACCCATTTTAGCCAGTTATCTATTTCTAGGTTTACTGTATTAGAGAAGAACCATCCTTCTCTTATACAGTCAACCTAGAAATTAATAACTTGCTAAAATGGGTTCAGAAATAGTACTACACAAACTCTTATAATTTGATCACCTCACAGCTGGAGATTGGGTCACCTGTGATTAGCTCTTGGAAAAAACCCATAGGTAAGACTAATCTGAAGCTACTGTGAGGGCTGAGAGTTTACCTTGTGGATAAAAATGGTGTTACACGAGCAATCTGGCGTGATCCTGGTCCTTCAGTGCCATTTTCTCCAAGAGACTCCCTATTCAGTTAATTAGAGAAACAAAAAATGTATAAAATACAAAAAGTGCTTCATGGTTACTGTGTTCATCATGTTACTTTGCTAAGTAGTAGTCTCTAAAAATAATACAAGTAACTGACTGTGTTTATTTTAGCAGATATATACTACAAGTAATCAAAGAAGTACTGCATGTAAATGTGACGTGTTTGATGTATTAGAACAAATACTAAAGCTAAAGTCAACCTTTAGCTCAAGTTTGATGAAAATCAGAAATCATGAAAATATAAAATATGATGGTGCAATTTGTTTCCATTGGTCTTTAGAAAAGGGAGGTAGTGCACAACCATCCAACTAACACAGGCAAACCAAATTGAAAATATAGTTAATTTGCATTAAACATAGCAAAGGACTAGAGGAAAATCTGGTCTGAAGTGTTTTTCTGGCATTCTTTTAGCATCTTAACCTCCCTTTCGTACAGTGTTTGTTGTGTTCAGTAGTATTTGCATTAGTCATAAGGTAGTGGTTCTCTGTGTAACCTCCCTCCCATTCCCAACTGTAGTTTAAATAGATACAAACCTCCTTGTTCAGAAGGTTTATACTTCTTTTATTTATTTTTACTTATTAATTCAATAATATTTCATTTTATTTTCACTAAGCCATTTAGCTCTAGTGTGATGGGCACTTGTAGGGGCTTAACTTATAGAGGTCATGGCTGGGTTGTGGGTTAGGGAGGCCATTTAGGCATTCTAGCACCTTGGGGTGCAGCTGTGGTTGCAGCTGCCAGGCCCCTCAGCCACCTAACTTCCATTTGTGACTTTGGTGTTAATTTCATTATCATCTTACACTGTGAACCCTCTACAGAGCTCCCGGGACCTTCAGGTAGGTAGACCTATCAAAGATGGGGAGCATTATTGAAAATGTATTGAGAGAGTGACTGTTAACCAACTGTTATGTAGCATGTAGCCAGCCAAAGCCCCCTACCCCTGGCAATGTGCCATCTTTAGACAGCTAGATTTATCTTATTTTATCACAATTACTGAAGAAAGATTGTAAAACCAATCAAATGCCATCAATTAAATTTTTCCACTTTTGAGTCCATAAGAATGTATAATTTATCAGCAGAAGGCTCAGATATGTGAAACAATTCCACTCTCAGAATTCTGGTCAAAGGTTTGTGTGAACTTCAAGGCTTAGGTTGTAAATTTTGACTGTTTGGTTCCCAATGTTGCCTATAATCTGATGACAAATGATTATATCCACAATGACCTGACCACCCAACATTTCTTATTTACCCTCTACTTTATAATTTATGGACAGCCTTGAAAGTGAATAACAAAGTTAGATTTTTTATTCAAGGAAAGGGGAAGGAGAAAGGGCACAGAAACTTAGAGCACCTGAGGTATGTCAGTATACCTACAGTAGTACCTGCTATGAATTCCTGTTATCCTTGATCCACTTGGAAAAGATGCATCAGCCTTCGAGATAAAAAATGAGTTAATTTAATTTATCTATGTGAGCAATGTGCATTATGAAGCTTAATTAACCACGTGCCATATTTATTTTCTGATTTCTGATTTCCTATTGGTTCTTAACAAAGGATTCTTGGACAGTAAAGACAGAGTTGAAAAATGCCTGCACATTTCAATAATTTTTATACACTAACACAGAACATTAAAGCAACACTGAGTAAAATGGTGGAATTTTGAAAAAAAAATTAAAATTAAAGCAACAAGGTTTTCTGCTCTGGTCAAGACATAATTAGATTTTGTACGCCCTGGCCTTAAGCAACACACATTTCCACAACAGAATCATTGAAAATGTTTTGGACATCAAGGTCGTATAATTGAAAACTTGCTGTCACTTAATTAACATTAAAAATTAGTGGTTTGATCACTAAAATGAACTTCGTTAAGATTATATATTGCAATTACAGGTACATGTAAAGTGCTTCCATAACTTCGAGATAACAGCATAACTAAAATAAATTTCAAATTCACAAGAAAACTGTAGAAGAGTTTTCTCGTGATTTGATATTTATTTCAACAATCACATGTATGTTGATACATGCAAAAGTCAGCATAAGCATGCAACATTCACTAATTATGCGGTACCTCTACCTTTTCCTTTTGGCTCTTTTTTGAGATGAAATTGAATAATTTGCTGCAAAAAAAATTTTTCATCAGTCAAATTCGATAGAGAGGAGATCTTGGTGACAATTTGTTTTTCTTACCCTTGAGTTTGAGTTTTTTGTTTCTGTCTCGATGTAAGTATTGCAGACGTCGAAGTCCTGTTAGGGGCCGAGCTTGAATTTTCTCTTCTTAATTTGCTAAGCTGCTGAGCGAGGTTGTTTATCGGAGGATTGCCAGGAGATATACGGCTCTTGCTGTCATGAGATGACATCTGTTAGATACCCTGTAAATATTGAAAGACGGCCGAGAAATTCATAGAAAAGTTCTTAAGTTTTTGTCGACCAACTTGCGCTCGTAAGCGGCGAGGATACTCAGCATTTTTTCCCGCCAAAAATACATGACTGCCCGTAGCCTGAGAACTAAAGACGAATTCCAAGTGAAGCTAGTACCTAGTTCTCCTGACTGTTTAAAGATGGCTGCACTGACTGCACCTTGAGGAAGCGAGGCTGGGAATTGTGCGGAGATTATTTAGCTCTATCCTGCATTTTATATACTCTCGTTGTGCGATGATGGAGGCAGCTAGCAACAAAATCTACAAGTCAAGACTATTTACATCAAATGTTCTTTTACAGAAAGATGAATTGGAGGAGGTATGCCGGCTAGATCATATTTGCTGTGTACGAGAATTTCATTTTGATTAATTTAATGGGTCTATAAAAGTTGTTGTTGTTTGATTTTTAGAGATTAGAGAAGTGTCACGGCCTTCTCACTTCTGTTGTTTCCAACCTGTCTGAAAATGAAGCTCACGATGCTCTAAATCAAATGGTTAGTAATCAGTGATGATTTTACTAAATATTTTTTCTATAACATAGTCTTAGATGCTGCCTGGAACGTTTTTGATTTGGCTGCATGTAGGTCTGTTTTTTAAAAATTTTTTCATGACTCTTAACCCTTTAACTCCCGAAACGCAAAGATTAATTCTCCTCTGTAACTCCCTCATATTTCCTTGTGTTTTCTTTCCTTTCACTTCTCACCAATGAGGTTATCTGTTCTCATAACCTGTTTGGAAGATATCATATTGGAATTGTGAGGAGAAGTTACATGTAGATCACTTTTGGGAGTTACAATATTAATGGTATTACTGATGTTCTGTTTTTATAGTCTGTTTAACTGTTTTATTTCCCATATGTTGTCCACAATTTTTCATGAAAAATGTCAAAAGCCACAGAGTAACCAAGGTATATGGTAGAAATGAGAAAGCTCTCCTTGATTTTTCTACCAAGGAAAAACTGGTTTGGGTGAATTTTTCAGGTGTCCAAAGGTCTACAGCAGCATGAGGAAGCATCTCTTGGTCTGCTTTATATTATATTAGTGGAGCAAACTGCTGCACCAAAGGTTAGACTTCATAAATTCTCTGACTCCCAAGTGCTTGCCACATTGAAATTGTCTTGGTATATTTAATAAATATGTTGTTTGTAATATGTTGCAATCTACCATATATGTATATACTAAGACAATGGTAGCATAGAAGGCCTGTTCTGATTGGTTACTCAAACTCTGAATATCCTTGCATCTCCATGATTTATAATTTAGACCTGAAGATATTGTAACTGTTGCAGGAGTAAATAAGTTAAAATAATCTTTTTGAGCTCTTTTATCTCACTGTTTAAAAATATCACAAAACAGCCATTCACCTTAGTGTTGGTTGTTAGTCACCTCCTTTTTGGTGAAAAGTTTTTGATTGTTGTACAATTTTTGACATCACATTTCTGCCATAAATAGTCTTTATTTCCTCTTTTGTTGTTTATTATTCTCACCAGTGACACAGCTAAATTCTGGTATAAAGCTGACCTCTAAACTGGCAGCATCCAATATGAAAAGGCTCAAACCTAACTTCTGACTATTTCTAAGTACAAAAGATCCAGCAAGAGTTATTGATAATGCTTTTAAAATGAACAGCTTTCATCCTGACATTGCATTATTCCATATTTTTTTTTATCAAACAAGAGTGTTGAATTCAGTTACTATTATATCTGAAAGGCTTACAGAGATCTGACATGTATTACAAGAGATGGATTGAGTTTGATCATGACAAGATTGATTGGAATTGTCACAGAGAAGCTGAATAAGCTACTTGATGCTGTTAGAACACAGGTAAAAGATTTTAATTATACTTCACATGTATATGTCAATCTGACAATTGCTGAATTATCATGACTCAATGGCTTACATGAATTTCATGAGTATCCTTTGTTTTCATGAAGAGGGTTACATTTTGAGATTATCAGATTCACGGGAGATGCTGTTGCCCAATTTTTAGTGTACCTGACTTCTGATTTAAAATACCATGTGGCAGACCTGGTTAAAGTGTTGCTTTATTGAACAAGAAACTTTCCTCTCACAGTGCTTCTCTCCACTCAGGGATTACAAATGGGTACCAGCAGACTTACAGGAAACTAGACTGATTGTTGGCTGGGATGACCCTGTATCTGGCATTCCTTTCGGGGGCAGGGGTGGGGTAGAAGGGCAGGCAAGTAGGCAAGTAGTGACATACACTACATGTAGGAAAAGCTCTGGCAGGATGGGTCATGCAACCCTCATTATTAGGTGAATCTCAGGATATGGTGCTTGATTACGTTCTCCATTTGCTTCAGCCCTTGTCTGTAGCCCAGGAAGTTGCTTTTCTTTACAAAAATTCTGTAAATTGGGTTGTCCAAAACTTTTCTAATGACTGACAACAACAAAGAGAAAAAGTCTTGGATAACACACACTGGCTTTGTTACATCTAATCACATGTATACAAACACACAAGACAAGGTTATGGTGCTGGTGTTGCTTTGGGAATGGAGGTGTCACTTCCCCCAGTAATGAAGAATTCGAAATAATTTGATATATGGAAGTTTATGGATTCAATGCTATGCTTTACCAGTCATAACTGATCTCTTTAATTTGGAAATGAGATCTTAAAGGGTATACAAGAATCATTAGTCTTTAATCTGCAAGATGAAACAATTGTACTGTGTATTGTCATGAATTTTACACACTGCTTTAATTGTCCAAAGGTATTGTGGCTTTCTAATGAACTCATTAAGAGCGCTGTTCCTGGTGTGGAAGGACTCTGTCAAGCTCTCCTTAGGCAAATTTCTGGAGGTGATAATTCACCCTCGAATGTCTGGCTCGCAGAAAATGTATTAGGATTGTTGAACACCAACAGGTAAGTCTAGTGTGTAATTACTTCAGTGTCAAGAATGCTCTAGTGAATGGTTCCAGACAGCTAATCAACTTGTTCATTAAGGATTGAAAAGAAATATACCTATTTAATCTGCTGGAAATATACTTCACTTCTGTTTTATGTCTCACTACCCTTACAAACTCCATCCCAGACACTTCCTTTTTGGTGGTCATATATTAAAAATGGATGCCACAGAAACAAACCTTATTAAATATAGATTTTAGTGCTATTTGAAAAAGAAACCTGTATTGTCTTTGATAACGGGAAGAAACACAAGAAGACCAAACAAAATGAGGAAAATAAACTTACAATCACATTCAAACTGACTTTAATCAAAGGTAACTCAGACACACAAAATACCTCATTTATATAAACATGAAATCTCCTCATAATTAATTTAGCAAAATATTGTTAAAAAACCAACCTTACTTTAAACATAGTTAACGTGGAAACATACTTTAGCAGTATGGGTATGAAACAGCTGCATGTAAACTGACTGGGTACAAATTGACTGAATCTGAAATGTCTGAAGGAATGAAAGGACTGGAAATTTAGTAGTACCATAATTTAATTTCACTTCAAGAGGAAGTAAATCCCGTGTTTTGACGGGCAAAGATGAGCTCATCTTGCTTGTCTTTCTTTGTTTTGATTTACAGCTTTGATCCTTCCCAAAAATACTTTTTAAGACACTATTTGCTATTTTCACATCTTGCAAATGCTTAAACATGTCTTGAGGACAGTCAAAACAAAGAAGACTGCAATAAATTTTGTGAATCTATTTTGAAAGCTATTGTTGAAGGAAGCCTTTTTGCAATGGAGTAAGATGGGTGGATATTGGTCTAAAAACAGGGAAAAAAGATCCTTGCTTCTTGACCTCATGGAAGGTCAATAACTTAATCATCTAGGCATCACTTGGAATGCCACGATGCAGAGAGAATCTTCCTCCAGTGTGCTTATGCACAAAAAATTGTTGAAAACCATTTTTTTTGTTTTTAAATTTAGAGTAATTTTTATTTCCCATTTGGTATCTGTGAAAATTGCAAGTCGTGTATCTCTCCTAATAACTATGCTCAAGAATCTACTTTCTTTTATACAATATACAGGTTAACATAACAGATTTCTATTAGTGATAATTTTGTGTTATTTTTTATCAGAGCTTGGCTGGAGAAAAACCCTATACTCTTGGCCACTGCTGTGTATACTTACCTTAGATTATTAGAGGATCATGAAGCAGCGCCATTCAAGAACTTACGACAAATGGAAATTGAATTCTGTTCCTCCTTGTTGAAAGAAAGGGTATAAAAAGTCTATAAATATTCTGGTTATATGGTCACAACTTACCAACACTTAAATAAATTTCACAACGTTAGTATTCATAGTGAACATACAGTCATGCAGTTGTGCCAATGTATTTCCATGATGAAAGCATTCTAAATAATACCACACTTCTTTCCCTCCTTTTCTCAAAAGAAAACTTAATCTGATCTTAATTTAACAAAACTCTAAATACTTACAAATAAGCACACACTTTACAAATTAAATGAAAGAGTCCTTCCTACCAAAATCCAAATACTGGTATTTACAAAAACAAGCATGCACTCTAAGAATAGCATGAAAGCATCCCTCACAACTTTGAATTGTAAATCAGTCTCTTAGAAACTAAATTCCTATTTGCAAAAGTCCCTAGTTCAAAACAAAGTCATTAAACCTTGCTGGTCTCTGAATCTGATATATCGAATTTTGCACCTGCTGCTGTGGCCAAATCTCTTCATCTTACAGCCAACATCTACTTGTTTATTTTACTTGTTTACTTCTGCATCTGATGTGCCTTGCCCTTGTTCTTCTCCTGCATCTACACAAGTGTTTCCATTCACTCCATTTTTTATTGTGTTGTCAGAACCTTCCTGGGTGTGGAATTCCTTGACAAAAGCTTGATTGCATCTGAGCATCACTCTTGTTCATTCCAGACCATGACCTCACTTCCCATCCTTTGCACAACTTTTACAGGACTATGGCAGAAATTACCTGGCAGTTTGTTTTTCTTCTCTGCCCTCAAGAGCACTGCATCACCAACTTAAAAAGACTTTAAAATAGCTCCTCTCTTCTCGTTTGCGCAAGCCTTTCCTTTCAACTTGCTCGACCAGTCCTTCTCATGAACCTCATATGTAGATAAGATAATGTTGAGTACATTTAACTCTGAAATGACTCGTTCCACCACACTTTCTGTGTGTCTGACCCCGTGCAGGACAATTTAAATCTTGCCTGAAATTTCCTTCCTGCCCACAACTGAAGCATGTCTTTCTTTTCCTGCAATTTTTGCAGTCACTTCATTGACCTGATAATCCACTTGGTCAGAGCTAAACTGTCTCAACTGTCGATCATTCATTTCTTGGGATCTTGCAGTCCGAAACAGGTCATGTTAGGAAACTATTCCGCCCTTGTTTTTGTAAGAATTCTCGGTGCAGACCGCTTGAGAAACATTTGTCAGTGAATTGATCACAAATTTGATCATCTTCATTGGTGCCAAATTTGCAAGCAACTGTGTGCAGATGCAATCTACAGACAAATTGGTCCTCAGTTTCACCACTTGCCTGCAAAGTTTGTTGAAGCAAATGTCGCTTGAAAGGAATGTGGGGACAAAATAATCTTCAAGCACCTCGAGTGTTGCCTCAAAACATTCTTGTCATTCTCACTGGCCAATGTGTAGTAGATCTCTTGAATTAGCAACATGTAATACTAGAGCTCACTCTCAACCCCTTTTTCTGTTACATACAAATTAAAGGCTTGCCTCCATCTATTTTACCATTGAATTTAATTGTGTGGTTCTCCTCTCAGATTAAATGCTTCTTATCCCCTGACATCTTTGGTCACCATAGAATTTCCTGAACTGCCACGTACTGTTTGTCGTGTTTTATTCCCCTGATCCACCACCTCCTGGCATCACTGGAATAAATCCTTATTAAAGCCATTGATGAAACGCCTTACAAAGTTCCCAAGGAAGTCCTTGAAAAACCTTAAGAAATTCTCAACAAAATTGCTTAATACCAAAAATCCTTGACATCCTTGAAATCCTTAAAATCCTTAAAATCCTTGTCGCCAATGCAAAGTCTATAAATATTCTGATTATAGAGTCACAATTTAATTTACAATGCACTTTAATAAATATTCATCGACTTAAATACATTTCACAACTTTAATAATCATAGTTAACATAGGGTCATGCAGTTGTGCTGATCTATTCCTATTATGAACACATTCTTAATGGTACAACATTACAGGGTATGGTCAATGAAAGATCAAACTTAAATCACATCTTACTGCCACATTCCCATCGATAATCAGTTATGATTGATAAGTGATCAAGTTAAAAAGTATGGAGTTACATCACCATGCACCCACAGTTGTGATGTGCAGCAGTCTCATTTTACCAGTATAATATTAACTTCATTGTACACTACCAGCTGAATATAAAAGTAGGCATGTGTCTTATCATTGTCATTTGAATGTTCTTGACAGTTTGTAGACTGCATTCCTATTGGACGAGACCTTGTGCGACTGCTTCAAAATGTGGCTAGGTTTGTCAAAATCAATTTCTTACATAGTGCTTTCCTTTTCTCATGGATTCACAAGAGGTGGTATTAATATATAGATTTAGCCAAGCCTAAAAGTGAGCTCGCATTTTTTTTTCCTGCACGTCTCAGGGGCACAACGCCTTGCCCGGGCCAGGACTAGAACCTGGGTTGTCCGACTTGGAGCCCAGTGCGCTGACCACTGGACTAATGGTCAAAGCCGTGGCATTGGCGTGCCTGCGGTACAGTTGATCACGCATGTTGAAAGTAGCACTTTGTATGGTCGTATGGTTGTACGGTCGTACGGTCGTATGGCCACATGGTCGTATGGTCATATGGTCGTACATCCAAATTTTTTCAGCTTGATGGGTTACTACTATTTTGTATAAATATGGGGCTACGCTCTGCGAGCTCTGCTAATAATGAGACATAGTCTTTGACCTATTTTGGAATCAAAAGTTAAAACAACTACCCAATGAATTAAACTCTGTAAATTCTGCCAAGAATCCTCTTTATCAAAAGCCAATTCTGGAACTTTCTACATGTATATGAGTCACAACAAAACTGTTGGCTGTGTGATGACAAGACAAGGGGCCAAGATTATAAACAAGTACTTCTTTGTCTTGTGTCTAAGAATACCAGAGTTCAATGCACTGTGGAAGGATATTGTACACAAACCTCAGTCGCTGTGTCCACAGTTTACAGGTATTTATGCTTTTGTTTTTTAAATGTTCTTCTCTGTTTAAGTGTAATGGTTATGAATACAACAGATAGCTTTCATCATGTGTGACATTCTTGGACCTGACTGTGAAAATGTTTGAAAACATTCTGATCATGTTGAACTACTGGTACATATAACTGATTAGTAGAGACATACATGCAGTATAAATTTATCTAGTTGCAACATGTGAGCCTGGAAGACTTTGCATTTAAGTGAACAATGTTGATGGGATCTCATTGATGTATCACATTTTTCAAAGGTATTGCTCAGTTGCTTCACACAAGAACTTCTCGAAAGTTCCTAGCATGTAGACTGCATCCTGAGATGGAGAACAAGATTTTGTTTTTAACGTCTAAGGTACAGAAAGAGTCCAAATCTATCAGCTGCCTGATACTAGTGTACTTTATATAATAAGCTCAGTTATGCATGCATTCTGATTGGTTCTCACTTATGATCTATTGGAGGACAGACATATAGACGATATCATCAATAAAGCTTTTTTAAATTCTTTATTATATAATTTAAAACAAATAGATTCCAAGTTGTCGTGCATGTGTTCAGTAATAGATCACAGAGGACATCAAAATGTGGTAAGAACATCAGTGACACACTCGGCTGTGCCTCGTGTGCCACTTTTTGTTCTTACCACATTTTGACATCATCTGTGATCTATTACTGAACAGATGCATAGCAACTTAGAATCTATTTGTTAAATATTTAACTATCATTAAGTTTCCATGCAACATAACTATTAAATGAGATCTGTACAAGAGCAATGTGCATTTTGTTTTTGTTGCCTTGATTTTCAAATAAATTGATCAGTCCTTTGAGCACAGCAATCAGAAACCCATGTTAATGGCTTTCTCTCATTATCAGGTGCCTATGATACTAAATTAAATGTGAAAATGAGAAAGCACTTACAAAGGTTTCCAGGTGTTGATTACAAATGTGAGGTTCCAATATTGCAGTCTGTGGACCCGCCTTAGAGCTACATGTACAAAATTGATAGTTTTTATGAAACATACTTTCTAAGAGCAATGTAAATGTCACTCTACTTGCAGTGTATTATAATTGAGATTTATCCTTCATTACTGACAGGTTAAGTTTGGTCAGCAGAAAAGATATCAGGACTGGTTTCAAAAGCAGGTCAGACTGATTGTTCTGTTCATAATCATTTTCATTATGGTACAATGTTCACCTTGAAGAGCTCTGAAAAGTGCATGTACATGTGCATGTAAACATGTAACTTCTCCCTATAATATTCAAACATTAATCAGCAAACAGATTACAAGAATACTCAAACTTATCAGGTAGAAGTTATGTCTTGATGCAGCACCAAATTTTAAAAACTAATTCACAAGGAATGTGTAAAATTAGCAATCAGATCATGAGAGTTTAAGGGTTAATAATTATTTGTCTGTATTCATTTGAGGTGATGATAACAATATTGATTAAAAATTAATATTGATATTGCATTCGATTTCAGTATCTGTCCACCCCTGAAAGCCAGAGCCTGCGGGGAGATCTGATTCGCTACATTATTGGTGTGGTGCATCCTTGTAATGAAGTGCTGTGTTCTGATATTATACCACGATGGGCCATTATTGGCTGGCTTTTGACATCTTGTCAGGTTATTGTCTATTATTTTGATGTGTGTATTACATCAGGGAGGCCTTGCTATCATCAACCAATACAGCAATCCTAGACTGGTCTTTACAGGTTGCATTGCAGTATTTTCAATTTTATTTTAATTCTTTATTTACTCTGACTGACATCATGCCAGGAACTGCTATTATATTAATTTAGTTTCAATGTATTCATTATTTATGGTTCCACAGATAGAGAATGACACTCCATTCTACTTCTACCTGTTTCCTCTTTTACCTCCTCTCTGATTATTTTATGCTGTGTTTTTTGTTCCAGACTGCAGTTTCTACAGCAAATGCTAAACTTGCCTTGTTCTTTGACTGGCTCTTTTATCAACCAGATAAAGATAACATTATGAATATTGGTAAAGCAAATCTTTTACTTTACATTTTTGAACTTTGATCTCCATATTGTGTAAAATTAATGATAAAATTATATTAAAACTACAAACCTAGAGAATTTTTCTTCATGTCTGTTTTGCAGTGACATATCTATAGTGAAATCAATTGCTTAGGCGATATTTCTTTTAAGGCAGACAGGCAATTGCTTATTTCCTCAAGATCTGTTGTTCAAGCCACAATTTGTGTGTTCCTTTCTTAACCTTAAAGCAGTTTTTACAGCCAAATTAATCTTTTTGATCTCCAGAACCTGCTATTTTGTTGATGCACCATTCTATACGAAGTCACCCAGCAATCACAAGTACCTTGATGGACTTTCTCTGTCGGGTAAAATCAATTTTTTTTGCTGTTTTATTACTTTCACAATTCTACTAATTGTATTGGAAACTTTTTTGTAATTGCGTGCTTGAATGAGGTTATTTATTGATTACCCACTGATAATCCATGTGTTAAACTTGTACCATAATGCAATGCAAAGTATGTTATTAAAAACTTGTACCTGAAAAAAAATAATATACTGTGGTTACTTCTGTTTGGCAAGATTGCTTAAAATGGTTGGTCTCTTTTCACCAGATTATTCAAAATTACAGCACTTTACCTGATGTTCAAGTTAAACAGGGAGTTATCAAAGCATTTCGGCATATTCTCAGTAAAAAAGTTGTAATGTAAGTATATTTGGATGTCATGTTTACATTTCTTATTTGAGTGTAGTCAGTCTTTAATATGCCTATCTCTCCAGAGGTAGCAGAGCAATTTGAAGCATGGCTGGGGGGACGGTCGGGGCTTTTCCAAAATACTAAGCCAAGTGCATACCCTTTTGGTGATTCCTCAGAAGAAGAAAGTGTTAGAAAGATATGATAAACCAAACTTAGCCTATTTATACATGTAAAAGCACTAATCATGTGCACCATTTTATTGGTTTATGGTACATTTTGAGGTCGCTGGAAGCAAGGGTTTTTAAAGCAACACCTTAAGATGGTAATACTGACTATTTTGACAAACTGCACATAATTTTATGCTGTGGGAGCAATATTGTCTGCAATGAGGTGTGAGGGGGGCTGAGACCTCCCAAATTTTTAGCTGGAGAGGGCTGTAGTCCCTTCCCCTCTCCCCCACCTGCTCTACCACCTACATGTATGCTATCTTTCTGACTGTATATGTATGTCTGTCTGTGTCTATATATCTGTTTGTCAATTTCCTACTGTGTAAGTTATTTTAACTTGCTTATCAAGCAAGCTCAAGGCTCACATTTTTCATCAAACTTTGCTTTGGAAAACTGTTCATATTTTGAAACAGATGATATCCATGGACATATATCATTGATCTTTTCCTGCCAAATGGAGGCCTTTGTGTTTCTATTGTTAACCTTCATTTTTGAAAACAACAATTAATTATCTTCAGCTAATGTTAGAGGGGTAAGCCCCATGCAGTGATTGAGTTTCTGATGACTATTTCTTTCCATCTAGGTCCTTGTCTCCTTTGTTTGACAACCCTAAGATGGACAGAGACCTTAGAAGTTTGATAAGAAACACCTTGGCTGAGTTCTGTGACTCAGGTACTCTTTCATTGACTTGCATCTCTCTGTGAAAATCAACTCAGCACTGTGTGTACTGACCTAGAAATGATTAATCATTTTGAAACTTGAATGAAAGTATCCAAGTGAAGAGCTACATGGAAGTTTGATCTTACCTCCATAAGATTTGCTTTCAAAGTCAAAATCTAGAAAATCTGATTAAATTGGCTCTTAACAGATTCCATTGCTAGAGAGTGTAGTGATGTCAGTAATGACACCCTGCTTCAGAACTGTTCATGTAGGTAATAAAAATGTGATATCAATTTTAAATTATTGGCTGAGCATTTTTTTAGGGAAAATTTAAGTATATCATCACTGCATAACAGCTTAGCATAGCAAAATTATGAGGTTCAGAGCCAACATAGGTTACTTCCCTGTTTTCAGTGGTTGTGTAACCCTTGGACCCCTAAGTGTGACCAGCATGTAATTTCTATTAACAATATCACCCCTGAATTGCACATGAAGGTCATGAAAATAAAGCAAATGATCATCATCTAGCATTATGGAGAATAGGAATGATGATGTTATGGTGTAGTTGTATCTTGAGAAACCAGCTGTTCTTTAAAAAAATGGTCTGTGACCCTACTTTTAAATTATTACCACAAAAAGCAAAAGTCATGGGTGTCTTTTACAGGTTAAAATGATGTTATGTTACCTTTTCTGGTTGGAAGGATGCTCTTAACATGGTCTTAAATAAATGAGCTTTTCTGTGATGCTAATAGTTTCCTTGCAACTGAAGTTGGTTAATTGTGTTTTCAAAGTGATAGTGCATGAACTTATTGGAAACAAGAGCCACCTAACTCGTTTTTGAGTCTCAAGCACACAAAGTAAATTTAAAGTTTGCAGAAGCTTTACTTTGCTGTAATAACATTACATGTGAAAGAAGTCATCACAACTTGTTTAGAAATATTTGATAATTATTTTCAAGGAGAAAAGCAATCAAGTATAATGTTGGTACATTATAGAATTGGTGTTAAAGAATTATGAGACAATTTTGAGCCACATTAACACCACATCTGTCGGGGTATGATTCTCAAATAAGGTTCAAACAATGGAATCTCTGTCTCTGATTGATTTGGATTTGTGATCAAGAATTGTTTTCTGTTCATCCATTTTGTGTTTACCTTTCCTTGGCTTGTTACTAATTTGCAGGTTCAAAACTTGAAGAATCATCAACATCAGCGTTTAGCAAAGTAGAGAGCTCCTCAGCTTCTTCATCAAGTGATATGCTCAGTTCACTGGGATCCAGAATGATGGAGGCAGACACAAGTAGCAGCTCAAAGGACACTGAATTGGCGGACAGTGGGGTTGATGAAGAGCTGGAGCCACCTGACGAAGAAGCTGTGTTCTCTGACCCTGATGAGGACGAGGACAGTGACATGACAGCCAACAAATCAGACAACAGTAAAGAGAAGGACTACGAGTTTAAACCAATTGAAAAGGAAGCTTTAGATGAGAATGAAGAAAGAGATAGCAATGAAGATATCACTGAGCTTGAAGATCTTGAGAATTTGGGAGATGATCTGAAAGAGCTGGTTATTAAATTCTCTCAACAAAGGTTAGTATCGCCCTTTTTGTGTGTACCCTGAGGCAATAATTATGGACAGGGAGATATTTGATCATAGCATTTAATTCAAGATCTAGCTATGAATCTTCGATAAATGCTGAAATAATTGCAATTTAACCAATTAATGTTTCATTTCTTTCTGCAGCGACCCGGCAGTGCGATCCAACAAAATGGAAGATATCCTTAAATGTATTGAATCCCTGGTGAGCCACTTCATTCTTTAAATTAAGATTTCCGTCTTTTTAAAATTGTATAAAAGCATCGTTCCAGGATCCTGCTGCATCAAAAGAAGTACACGATGCTGATAGCATGTAGTAATAATGATCAATTCCAAAGACTTTCGTCAAAGAACTTCGTCAAGATTGGTGGTGGAGTATGCATAAACTGCCACATTGTGTCTCATGCGTCGAAAAACTCTTTTGAGTATTTAGAAGGCATCTATTTTTCGGTCAGCAAATGAGTAAATTACAACTATTATCATGTTTTTAAATGGTATTGAGTACTACTATCCACCCTAAGACAATTTACCGTTACACTGCCAAATTGTATAAATTGTATCTTAGATCTAGTTTTCTTATTGGAGCGCTTTTCGATTAAGTGTAACACTAACCAAAGTTATCAAACGGATAACTTTGGTTTGATGAAGAAAGGAAAATACCTCTAAGAGACAAGGAGAACTCAACGTAAAAACAACTATACTGCCTTGTGGGGGCAGTTGTCAGTTGGGACTTTGTCCTGTTACTGTCCCCTGTCACGAACTTGTTTTTTTAAATGTATTTGTACATTTTTTTAGGCGAATGAATTAAATTTAATCAAAGCGCGAGAAAACATGGGCGACCAAGTCGTGAGTGGTTTTAGTTTCGCATCTGATTTTCACTGAGCTAAGGAAAGTAAAACCGAAGCAAACCCGGATTACAATCTATGCTCAATTGAAAATTGCTCTAATTAGACTTTACTTTCAACCTCTGGTTTCTTTGACATTATTCATTGATTCTGAGTTAGTTACTTGTCTTTTGATCGTCACTTGCCTTTTTCAGGATGAATTTGAAGATGAAACAGCAAAGTCTTTAGCAGTTTGTCTCAACTTTTGCCTGATAGATGAATTAATGACTCCGTGTATCTCAAAGGACAGGTTAACATTATTATTATATATTAGACTTACTATTTAAACTCTGATTGGTCGAGAGCATGTAGTCAATGTACCAAAGCGTGTGAAGTTGCAGCAGATATTGGGTTAGCATGTGAAATACAAAGTCTGCCTAGTTTCGAAGCCCCTCGTCCGTGTAATGTTCTCAAACTTTTGCAAACTTAGAGAGAAGTATCTTCTTTTGCAGATTGTTTAAGCAATGCGTAATAAAACAATTACTGTTTTCGCATGTTATCATGTTATCATGTTACCTCGTGTCCTAGTTACCTGGCTCAGCCTTCGGCTTTGGCAGATAACTCAGACCTTGGCACTGACAATTCATGATATCATACGTAACCTCATCCAATGATTTCTAACTGTCGGTTTTCAAATAAAAAACGTAACGCAATGATTGGGAATGAAGTTTTGGTATAATGAGAAAACTAGTACCCCTGTTAATCGTGGATTTTCTAAAGCGCATTGTCAGAGTCTTTTTTTGTTGTTGTTGTATTCGAATTAATATTATTTAATAACACAAGCCATCAGCGAGAAATTTAACACTCACTAAATGTCCTTGTTTCAGTGAGCATGTCAAAATCAGATCAAATCGTTCATGCTTTTTTTACTTGCGCACAAAACCACAAAACTTTGCCATTATTTTCAGGAATCCAGAGGACTGTCTAGATGGACCAATCTATGTGCTGTGTCGGTGAGTACCAAATGTCTTGCCTCAGTTCATTCCTGCCCATCTTGTAATACATTACCAATGTTCATTTTATACTTTAGGAGTATCTGTGTTCTTCCCACCCATGATGTTGGTAGAGAGAGACACCTGACATTGCTAGGGGCTCTACACACAGTGGATCAAAAGTTTGGCTATCGTTTTCTCTTCTTCCTAAAAGCAAGGTTAGGAAACTGCCCGTTCCATATTCTTTATCCTTGGTTTCTGCTTGGTTTCTGCTTGTTGTTTCATTAGTTTTAATAGATACTTAAAATAGACGGTATCTATTTCAAGTAACTGATTTTCTGTTAAATTGATGAAATACAGCATTGTGTTATTTTTTCTAAGGCTCTGAAAGTTAATGAAAGTCAGGTCTACGTGAATCAGTCACTTTCAAAGAAATAAAAATAGCTGTAACTTGAGTGGTCACAAAAAAATTGCGTGACATCCTAAGGAATGGCCGGGAAGGAAACTAGGCCATGTCATCAACAATGTTTATTCCTTAACTCCGATAACCTGCTTTCTGTCAGTTGATGGGAAGTGTTTTCTATTGGATGTCCTAATACAATACCAAAGTAACCACAAAAGCCATCCCAACCAAAGAAAATATCACAAGGAGCCACTGAGTAATGAAAAGAAAAACAATCAAACTCGGCGGTGAAGTGGACGGCACAAATTTCAACAATAGTCACAGAGCTGGTGCAGTCCCCAAATACTTTCGACAAACTGTTCTAATCTATTTTCGCTGTGATAGTGTTACAGATGACGAGCGGCTCACAATATACGAGGACTTTGCGAATACGTTCCGAGGAGAGAAGACACTTCAAGGATGCTTAAGAGATGATTTGAAGGTCTGGCGGTTACAACTGTATCTAGTCATTGCTGTTACGTTTAACTGCTTTTCTAAGCTTCATTATAAAGTTGTTATTATTTCTTTATGCACACAGGTTTGCCAGGATTATGATATCAAGGCCTTCCGCTATATCATATGCTCTATTTACAAAAAGGTATGTGCCATATCCGTTTGCTGGTACTAATCAGATGATCGGTACTGGCATAAGTTGTTAACGTGTTCATCATTATTGGTCAAACTTAGATGGAACTTCTTTCTCAAGTATCTGCGAAGTATCCCAAGAGGTTTGTAACCTGTTGATTTCGTAACTTTCTAGTTTCCAGAATACGTTGTAGGAAACTCTGAAGTTCTTCACATGCTTGTTGGAACCATGGAGCCAAGACAGGTAAGAATAGAGAAAAAAGGGCAAAACAGTTTATTTCGTGGTGCAGTGGAGTAATAATCGGTATTTTCTCAGCTAAAAACACCATATAATTATAAAAAATGTGTCCTTAGATGTAAAGTACTTTACGCTGGTTACTGCTAGTTTTGCTTTCGTTTATAGCCGTTCTTTGGTTTTTCACGCAACTGTTCATATAAAGTGTGTGGCTTGACATTACAAATGACGGCTGAGACACTGTAAAAAGATTCAATGCCTTCTCTATCCTGGCTCGTTCTGTGTGTTCTTTCTGCCTTCTTTAGAGTCAAATTCGTTTCTTTTCTTTTTGGGTTTCCATGAGGCGCTAGTAACCGTTTCTTGTGGAGCACATAATAGGCTCACTTTCGTAGCAGTTGTCACTTCTGTTGCTGTCTGATTTGTTGAAAACGTTATAACTCCTTACCCATCCCTATATCTGTCTTTATCGTTTTACAGTTAAACCAGCTGATGAGTGAGATAACTTTGGGGGAATTGACAGTATTTGGAGAGGATAGCAAACTTGACACTTTGCTAGGTAATTAAATAAATGGCATTCCCTCCTTTTATTATTTAGGGAATTAGTACTTTGCCTCAAGTTTATAGGTCTTATGGTTATCCAAACTCCCGCAGTTACCTTTGTCCGATGCATTTCATGAGTATTAATCGAATTGTAGATTTAATCATCAAGTGTTTTAATAAATTTTAACATTTACATTTACATCACTTCACTGCAAATGATCAGCAATCAAAAGCATAGGAGGATTTGAGGGTGGTTCTCATGAACAGTTATCCAAGCCTTTCCTAATTTTCAAGTAATATCAGATTTCATTGGTGTGACTTTATTTTTCTCTGTAATTAGTCCAATTGTGCCATCCCATCACCAATCAGATATGAGTTATCACTGATTTTTCTTTCTTTATCTATTTGTTTATTGGCCACGAAAACGTAAAAATAGTTTTCTTCAATCTAGCATTGATTGCCTCAGGGAAGTAATATTACTCTGGGAGAATTTGGTTTTATCAACTGTGTAGATAATGTAAAATGGCCGCCGTTAACAGTTTTTAAGCTTACGTTTCGAGCGTAAGCTCTTCGTTAGAGCAATAGATGGCATCAGTCAACCAAGAGTTTCTGAAGAAATAAGGCGAGGAAATCCAACAGACTCTGGAAACAACTGATCATATTGAACATCCTATTTACTTCTCTTGTGTACAGAGAGTACTCTAGAATGGGAGTCATTTGAACAGCAGTGTGTGTGGCACCTTATCCAAGCTGAGGATGTGTTGCTGGAGTCATTTGTCAATATTCTTCCTTCACTTAAAAAGGATCTGCATGCGGAGGCTTTGTCAAACTTACTTATTCTCATGAAAAGTGTTGCGTAAGTCTCCTCACTATCAGCGTTGGCCCAGTTGTATTAAGGTCCGACAACATTATCCAACGTATAAATCGTTATCCAGCGGATAAGTGAGAGCAAAATGTACCACACTATCCAGCGGATAGAGATTTATCCAGCGAATAGCGTTATCCAACCTTGGAACAACTGGGGCCTTTTTTACAGCTTACATCCAGAGCATCGGTGTATGTTTCTGCTGATAGTACATGTTAATCTGTACCCAATTCATGGTCAAAATTTCACTTCCATCCGACAGTCGAAGGATCGTTTAAATCAGTGTACTTTTAAAAAGATTCAGGTTTGGCCTTAAAAGTCCTGCATCAGTCGAAACAGCTTATTATTTTATAGGGGGTTTTAAATTTGACTGCAATCATAAATTTTTAATTATGGGTGCGGTTAAACGATGTAGTTAAACGGTGAATATCACATGGAGTCATTGAGAAACAATTCAACAGTTAAGAGCGGGAAATACGAGAGAAACAACCTCTGGATTGGCTGGGTTTTGAGTTTCAAAAGGCATTCACAGGTGAGGAGGGGTGAAGGATAAATCTAATCTTAAGTATTTTCGGATTACTTCCCCTTTTCAAGTCAAAACTGCTTGGCTTCAAATTGAAACCTTGTTGCTTTCTCCGTCGAAAGCAATTTTAATTTTGGTGTGGAAAGCATTCTAGGATCGCATTGGTTTTACTTTTCCTTGCCCTGTGATTGGTCCAAAAAACACACGTCACCCTTTCGACATCTCAGGCTCATAACTTCTACCAATCAAGACTTGCGCTTACTTCGAGCTCTCATAGACTCCTTTTTGTTTGCGGTCAATGCAATGGGATGTTGTAATTGGTTTGCTCTCAATCAGTTTGGAATACTTTACTTTTTAGCCAGATTTCCAAAGATTCTTGATTTAACTGAACTTTGATCTCTGAGTACGAGGGTTCTTAAACATGTTGACGTTGAACGAGTTGCAATAAGAGCCAATCAGTACTTAGTTTCTCTAGCTCCAATCCCTTCCTCCTCTTAATGACCAATTGAATTTTTGTTCCAGTCCTTCTGCGGACCTTGTTATTCCAGTCTTATCAATGGAATGTTCCGAAAAAAGGCCTGGAAACCAGTTTAGCGTTTCGCTGCTTAGATACTGGGCACAGGAATACCCAAGGGAACTTGCACAACTGATTGGCCAACAGCTTTGTAAACAAGCCTCAGCAAGCAAGAAAAGAAAGTAATGCAGTGTACTTATGCTACTGATTTTTTGGTTTTGAGTATGCAACACTTAATAGAAAAGTCCACCTATAATTAGCGCTTTTTACCAAGCTAATTTTGAAGCAGGTAACTTTTAAGTGAAAGAAGATGTTACTCAGTGAATGACGCAGGAATACTTGGAGGAAAAGAAACCAGAGTGCTCCTAAAAGGAGTCGAACCTACGACCTTCCGATTAGTACTTGGGATGCTCTACCTCTGAGCTGTAGGAGACTTGCGACAGGCTTGGGTATTTAACTGGGTCCATGGTGACAAACTTCCTGTATACTGCTAGAAGAGGAATGTAGATATTTAATGCTTCTGTGCAATGATGGGGTAACTCGTGTATGCATTTGAAGGGACCTGCACCTGAGAGTCTCTCGTCATTTACATTTTTGCCATGTTTCTTTCCAGAGGTGCTAAAAGTCAGCTAGGTACAAATTTGGAGCTTGTACTGAGCCATTTGGATTGGCTTCACAAGATATGCCAAGAGCAAGAAGATTTGAGCTGTAAGTTTCGTGCGTTTTTTTTAATGATTCGGCACAACAATCGTCTCACAGCACTGCTCAAACAGTTTGTATCGCGAAACATAACCGATTATTGGTCATGTCCAAGAGACAACTATCGTTTCCATCAAAAATTTTCCCACAGCACATTCACTTAATTTTAGTGTTTTGAACATTTTTTCTAATAACATGTAATTAATGAAGTTCTGTTCCGAAAAGATTGGTTGTTGGAATAGAATGGTCGTGGAGCTTCTTTTTTTGAGGTTTTGTCACTGAGCTTTCTTTATTGGTTAGGTGGGCATTTGGTTGAATACTAATTAGTGTATCTTTTACCAAGAGGAAATGATGGGAAAGTGAGGGAAGTATCTGGTCTTCTAGGTTCTTGCAATACGTCAATGTCAGAGAAGTGATCGATAGATAGAGTTGTTTTCTGTAATATCGGCATAACGGGTAATCCTGATCTGATCTACTTAGAGAAAGGGATAGTTTGGTTAACAGAGTGGAGAGGTGTTTTGTCCATGAAAAAAACTGTGGGAACTGGGGAGAAGGTATTACGTAAGCCCTAATTCACGGAGCGGATCTCTGGGGAAAGGGACTTCCGTATACATCTTCAACTTGTAAATATCTTTTGAGGGAATCTACATATCCAAGCCAACGCCCTAATTTTCCTTTTCTATGTCCTTATTTCTCCTTGATTCGATCTTGTTGAATTTTGTTTTTGATATTTTGTTGGCAGTTTTCAAACACGACGGCCTGAGATCTGCTTTAGATCAAGTTAAGCAAACTGCAAGCGAAGGAAGAAAAAATAAGTATGTTCACAATTTTATATTTGACTGTATTCGTTATATTCTGAGTACTTGGTGAAAACACTGCTAACTTTCACACAGGCCCTAGGAGAGAGCCAGTGAACTCAAGGGTACTTTTGTGGTCGCTGTTTTTTGACATTTTCCGAGCGGATAACTGGAAGTTACCTTTGTTGGTTTGTTACAGGTTTAAGCAGTTATTTTCAATGTGTGAAGATAAAGACAGCAGGAAAAGGACTACACGGGCATCCATTCTAGCTGCTAACAGGGCAGCATCATCTTCCTCTGAAAGTGAAGAGGTTAGCCAATAAATCTCGCACACTGATGATGATGATTACTTTCCTCGTCTTAATTAGAGAACTTAAAAGGGTCTAGCGGGTAGAATCAAAATAATTAAGTTTGTGAATTTCTTAGCCGTCTCCGTGAAATTAACAAAAACTTTGTGGTCTGAGATCGGAAATCTGACGGCCAATTGTTTGAAAATTGAACGCTGCTCGCTTATCTTGTGATGAACATTACATATGGCGCCGTTGAAGACGGTAATCACATCCACCAACTCGTGAAATTTTCAAGAAAAATAAAAATTCAATTTTGAGTTGACCATCTCTGATAATGTTAATTGGACGCACAGGACTAAAAAGAACTTATTAGAGATACTAGTAAATTAGTGTGACCTTCCCTCTTTCATTTGCAGGAAGAAGAACAAGCAGTGAAACCTCGCAACGCTAAGCGAAGGAGGAAAGCCAACACTACTGTTGATTCAGACAGTGATGAATAGTAATAAATCGTTCTCTTGCTGTTTTTTACCCATGGATTGCTCTCTCTGTAAGAGTGCGTAATAACGGCAGCATCGGTAGAAGGAAGCGAAACGTTTTGGCTCCCGGAATGAATTAGACTGCGTTAAATGTGGACTTGAAAATGACGTGCTCGAGTTAAACTTGCAAGGATCTAGAAATTGCGCAGATAAATGAAATACTTGAAATTTCGGCAGTCGGCATCCTGCAAGGTGATCAAACCACGATCTATAAAGTGGAGTTGAATGATCTTCTCAGTCCACTCAAACAATCAGTGATGCATATTTAGCCATTTCTACTTTTTCAACATTGTAACTCTTGAGTACTGCCTTTATGTTCCTTTAGGGAAAGAAAACTCTCTCCTCTTTATACATAATATTTTCATCCATTTTACCTTCATCTTAATGCACTACATCTGCCTTTAATTGGTATTTTCATAATCCAAAAAGATTGGAGTTTAGTGCAAACTAAACAATGAACGAAGAAACTCTTGCTATTCGATTATATCTCTGTCTTTGCGGAGGTCTAGGTGCTTATTCACTGGAATTTTTCTCATACCAAGAAGAATTTCAACAAAGTTCTTGTTTCATTCTGAGAACTCTCGTTCAACGAAGTGTTGTGTTCTCTTACTAAGTAACATAAAGGGCTGGAGTATTTGCTCCTTTCCTCGGCACGATCTTCCTCGCCGGCTGCAAGATACA